ATAGAACAGGATATATATATATATATATATATATATATATATATATGCAAAGCAGCACTTTGATCCACTGTAAAATTGCAAGGACTTCAGCAGGCTGGTGTGACTATTTAATCTAGTACGCCGTGTGATGTATTTCTTTTTATGCCTTGGCAAACGCTGAAGATATGCAGCTTCATGTGTTCATTTGCTCACATGTTCCTCAGTGTTTTTTTCCTCTGAGAGAGAAAAAAGGGAGAGAAAGAGACACACCAGCCACTGTTCGCCCACACATCTTCAGGTAGAGAAGAAGCGCTGATTATCAGCACTCAGTTATGTAGTGCTTCAAACATCCCTGTGGTCTGAACACACTGAGAGGTGCATGTATTAGAGACTGTGGTTCCTTATTCACGTGGGTGTTTATTCTGTCACTAGGGTATTTTTGCCATGAAAGCAATTCCTCAGATTCAATGGATGCTGTTGCAGCAATAATGCAATCGCACCTTTAACCAACAGGGAGCCATGCCTTTCCTCACAAACATCGTGCATTGAGGGTAAATAATGCCTCAAGATTATTTCCCAAGGTCTTTCAAGGCCATTCTACATGAGAAAGAAGGAATCAATGGAATTTTATGCATGAAGTCGATACTGGATCTAAAGCACGTGGCTCAAACATTAGCAAGTGCTTATTGCTGATGCACTGACCCGTAAACTCACACTCCTCCACCATTTACTCATTTCTCCACAAGCATGTCACCCAGTCACTCATTCGCCCCGTAATTCCTGCCCCACAGACATGCTTACATTGTCATCTGATTAAACAGATATATCAACTGTGGTTTTGTCAAAAGCTTAAAAGAGATACTTTCATCGCCCACAGGCAAAATTTCATTAATAAAACCAGCTGGCACTGGCCTCTTTCTAGGGTGTTTTTAAACCACTGAGAATATTAAGAAACGTCTCTCTGATATGCAGTAAAAGTGCATTGACCTGCATAAGGAATATATAGCAAGATGAGAATGATTTGAATGAGAACATGTACTTGTCAATATAATGGCATGTAAGGAAATCCGAAATGTGAAAAAAACCATGTTGACGTTCACCATGTTATCATTAAATAAACTACAATGATTAACAACACAAACTCTTCAACACAGACAAATTTAGGCTCTTACCTATTTTTCAATTTTTTTTTTTTTTTATGAAACCGTCAATTTAAAATCTCAAAAAACGAGCAGACTGAATGTCATGAAACCTGTCTTGGTCATATTTTACCCTGAAATCAAAAGAAAGAAATGTGAAATGTGTTTGCTTTAAAAAAAAAAAAAGCTTATTTTTTATTTATTTTTTGTTTTTAATTATGACATTGTTTTCATCCCAATTAAGCAACCCCTCATTCTCATTACTGCCACTAAAAATAAAATGATTTAGATTCTACTTAAATTGTAAATTATTTCACGTACTGTCATTGTCTTTTTGTAAATAGTCAAATCATTTGAAAATACTGTCATTACGGAAAAAAATAATTTGAATGATCTTAAAATAGGTCCTAACTGTCTTTAAGGAAAATTTAGTTATTATTATTTTGGGGTAAAATGTGACCTAGACTTGTTTTTACACATCCTTATTTTAAAGAAGAAAAAATATATAGCAGTTTTCACTGCCTGCACAAAAAACTTCTTATGTTATGCTACATGTACATAGTAATAACAATAAATTATGCATAATGACATACAACTAACCCGGCCTAAACCCTCATCTAAACCCTAACCATATAGTAAGTAAAAGTAGTTAATTAATATTGCTCAGTACTTCAATGTATAAGTACACTGTGATAAAATAAAGCATAACCAGAAAAAGCAGCTTTCTGTAATGTAGGCTTAAGTTGTATTTATGATGGCATATCATGTAATAACCATTCTAGTATTTTTGTCCTATATTTAAATATCAAATTAAAGTACAAGCATACAGTATGCAGTAAATATTAGAAACGCATTAGAAATGTATTAGAAAAGTATTAGAAATGAAAACACGAGTCATTTGATGTGCAATTTGTTTTAGTTTCTTAATTTTTTATTAAGCAAATTCCAGATTACAAAGAAGAAATACCACAGTTTTAATAATAATAATAATAATAATAATAACTGTCATCATCATCTTAAGTCAGGCACAATTGCTTTGGCATTATGGAATGAAAGGCATGCAAAACTGATAACTGAAAACAGAAAAGTAAAGACAGGAAGGCTGAGAGAGAGAAGAGAGAGAAATGAAGGGTAAAAGAGGAAAAGACAAGTCAAATGAGTGAGGCAGCTTCAACTTAATGGGACTTTGAGAGAGACAAATCAAGACAAAGGACAGCCCACTGGGAAAAAGCAAAAAAAAAAAAAAAAACATTGAGAGGAAAAGGGCATGAGGATGAAGGGAGAAAAAAAAGTCATGCAAAATGGGCAAAATGGTATTATAAGCCAGACCCTCAGCATAGAGCGCAACAACAACAAATGTCAACTGGAACTGAGAGAGCAGAAAGCTCATTATAACGCAATTATTAGTAAAAGACAAGAAACATTTTTGAAATGTGAAACAGATATTCACATTTCAGACTTAAAAGCAGACTAAATTTGTACCTCCAGCAATACTTGAATAAATATTAGGATTCAAAAATCATTCCTCTTGCTCTTTTCATTTCCCATAAATCAT